AATTCCACTGCTGGGTTCCGACATAAAATCGAAATCCTCCTCCTTTGACGATCAAGTTCCTCCTAATGATGGCGTGAGAAACAAGATAAGACGGCACCGCTGACACGTTGCAGCCGACACAGAATTTATATCAAGTACTTGAAGTTCTTGGAACATCCTCAGTGATGTTACCGTCCTCACTCAGTTACCCTTTTTATTTAATTGTTCAATTTGTCTTTTGACACTAAATCTTGTTCTGTGATCACTGGTTCGGTTGAAGCCGGACATTGTACAGAAGGTGAGTTACAGATGGACTGCAGGGTCAGATGTCCAGTAGAGGCAAATAATCAGTCTCACTTACATTGGCACAAACATCTACTTTCAGTTTCCTGAGTTAGGTGTGGCAGTAAATCAGTAAATAGTGCACTCGTCTTACACCTAGAAGGTTATGGGATTGATTCCAGACTCTGGCAGCTTGTATTTTGCCTCACCCATCAGCCTTGTTGTCAGTAGGTAGATAAACCATGCCCTGTGGAGTGCTAAGTATAGACCATTTAAATGTTTTGCTGCAAAAACTTCTGACCCTTCAAACTTTAAGTAAAAGCGCACTTACATATGCCAAACATACTATTATTAAAAAAAGGTGTGTATTTTTGGAAAATGGTTTGTGAAATGTATTTGCTATAATGAAATCCAGGCTGTAATATGGAGGAGTTGTGCTCCATTTTTCTTCCACATAAAGAGAGACTTTCCATTTATCAGCTTGGGCTTTATCAGTTTAACATTTAACTGAAATAACAATCCTTGACACCCTTCAAGATATTCCCTCCATTTTTATAAATACACCACACAGAAAGAGGCTGGTACACAATCTCCCTCTTTTACTGTCATGAAGAAAAGAAATGATGGTATCTGAACACGATATTTAAAATTCTTGGAGAGCAGCAGCTCTAGTCAATAAATCCCCTCTGCTCTATTCCACATTACCAGCTGCTTATTTCTTTTTAACGTAAATTAACTTTGTTATTTTATTTATGCGCCAAATCTCCTGGACGTTGATTCCAGTTCTTGTGTGTCCTGGCGGGCTTTTTTCTTCTTACTTTACACAATCCAATTATAAAAATCCAACCATTATTCCTTCACTTCAGGCTGTCATGGTATTATTGATTTAGTGATAAAAGCTCAAAAGGCAGGAAAAAGGAATATCTCTATTAGCAAGTAATTATTTAAGTAATTATATCAGGGCAAATTATGGGAAAAAATAGGCGGCTGTTGATGTCTCCCTGTGATGATTTGTTGTCTGAGGTCAGAGTCTATGTAAACATGTCCCTGCGGCTGTATATGAGAATTCACCCTTTATCCTTTTCAGTTGTCAGTACAGAACTGACAAGTGTTGATTCTCTCATATCACCTGACAGGCTCCCACGGTGATTCTACAGTCCTGGTTACACCACAAGTCATTCAGCAGAGAACTGAATGTGTCCAGTCTTTTGAATTAGCAGGAAGGTCTTTGAAAAGGGGAAGCTGCAGATGAATGATACTAAGTTTGGTGTACCTGTCATCCCAGGGCTGCCCAATAAAGTAGATCAGGAGCTACCAGTAGATCACAAAGGGAGGGCAGGTAGTGGCCGTAGGAATGTAATCATACTGTGAACTCATCAGTACCTTAACATATGATGTGTATGTGGAGTATATTCAGTTTATATGAGTGAATATATATTCAATGTGTTCCATGTAGGTAGGACACTTTAGCCTGGTTATTTGAATACCGTCTCCCAAGCCAGAAAAGTATGGACACCCCTGTGTTATCATTACAATTTATTAAAACTGAGTTGTTTTTTAAAAAGTATAAAATAAATACATTTTTGTCACTACCTACCATATTAATTACTGCATGCATCTGCTGAAAGTTTTCCTCAGCTTATACTAAAAGCTCATATGTGCCTGTCATGAAGCTGATTTGTTTTTCATATTCAGTAGCTATATGCTAGTTTTGCAGCAAAATGTATTTAATGTATTTAATGTCTAACTGCTGTACTTCCACCAGGTTTTGAAAGCGGATGTACATGCTCTTTGAGGTTGCTATAATATTCAGCACCATGGACAGCTACTGTAGGGCTGAGCAGTACAAATACACAAATTCCAGTATTTCACCATGAATATAAACCTACTGCAGTCGTACTGTGTAAAATGTTAGTGCGTCTTTAAATATTTTATTACCTTTTTACACCTGTGATGTGATATAAACGCATCTGATTAAATCGTTAAATGACCGCTTAGTTGCAGCAATCACTTTCACCTACAACCAGTTCAAGGCAGCAGCAGCAGCAGCAGCAGCAGCAAGAGACACAGTTTTCAACATCAAAGTAAAGACTGCAATTGAGCGGCTGCGGTCCCTGGTGGGCGAAAACTGCAGATACAATAGTAAAGTGAATGTGATGTATTTTATTCGGGGGAAATGCAGGAGAGACAGACGGGCCTGGGGATAACAATGGAAATGAGAGTTTCTGAGATTTAAAAGCCATTTATGAATGATGGGGAGGGGAAGATGGGAGGTGATGAAGAGAGAGGAGGTGGAATTATTCTGCATCATTTTAGTACTGCGGCTGATGTCATTTCCTAAACCACCATAATCGGTCATCAGTGACTCAAAAAGCAAAAAGAATGGACCAATGGGAGCAAACACACACACATACACATGCACAAAGATTATCTTTCCCATAGGAGAGATATACCTTACTGACCTACTGAATACTTGAGATCTTAATTAATTGGACTCTCTCTCTCTTTTTTCTATTTACCCCAGTCTCTCTCTCTCTCTCTCACTCACTCTCACTCACTCTCACACACCAACCTTCTCTATATCACTCACACCTGCAGGAAGGAGGGCAGCTCCAATTGAACGTCGCATATTCGCCCCTCACCTACAGCCACCAGTCTCACCTCAGCTGCCGTGTTTTACGCACATGTGGTTCTTCCTTCACGGGACTGGTTCGATAAATAGGTTAACTGTGTCTCGGAGAGAGGATATCCCTGTCCATCTCATCTCATCTCCGTTTGACCGTTCGGAAACATCATCTCTTTTTGCCTTGATTTAAAATCCTATTTAATCACTGTCAACAGCAGCAGCAGCAGCAGCAACAGCAGCAGCGCCAGTTCTAAGACGCAGACCCGTGGGCGGCTGGGTGGCGTCTAGTCTGGGCGAACTGACAGAACAAGGACTGACTGCTTCGTCCAAAAATCCCCTCTGATTATTTAGAAACGCCGACGAGGAGAGCGACACAACGGATACAGGTACCGTTCATGTGAATCTGGACTTCAACTAGAACGGACTCCATCTCCGCGCCATCCCAACCTCCCTCCTCCTCTCTCTTCTCCTCCCCCGCTGCGCATAACCAGTTGATTTTCTAAAGAACTCTTCCAAAAAGTCTGAAAGCACAAGACACACCTGTGAATCCCAGCAGCGCGACCAGCACAGAGACTGAATGAGTCCACCTTTGGCTGTCGAACCCACTCCTCCAGCGCGCCGGACGGATGCGAAGAGAATAAACACATCTTTAGAATCCAGCACCGCCTCAGCATCTCCGCCAACGGAGCTCCGCAACCCAGCGGAGTGAATCTCACAGCGGGGAGAGCAGTCGTTTCACAGGCAGGTACGAACGTCTAGTTAGTGTGGCACCATGATGTGCCACCATGTGCCAGGGGTGATAAAAGTGACCAGTGTTTCAACGGCCTTTGCACCTGTTGTGTTTTTGTTAACATTCAGATAAAATGGATTCGTGTGGTTTTAATGTCTCCTAATTCAATTATTCCTGTGTTTGTCCGCGCTTACTTTGCCATCTGACCCCCACCCCCACCCAACCCCCCTCCCTAAATCATCTCAATCGCACCTCGCGCGCAGTTACGCGCAGCGTGGGCTTGATCGGTGTGATTGGGTGATTATAGGTCCATCACACGCATCCACACATGTAATTAGCGTATAATTGCCTCCACACACAGCGGGACATCAGGTTTAGTGGCTTCAGTCATGGCTGGATCAGCTCACTGTGCTTCTGATAAATGAGTGGCTGCAGTTGTTGTGATCCACATGCTGTAAAAGTCCCCGGTTACAGCGCGGCGCTCAGATCTGTCGCCTCCCTCACACACACGTCCATCATCTGAGCTCCTGGAGCAGACTCTCTGTATGGACTAGGGCGTCGTTATTTATTCTGGGAGAGGGGGCGCATCGGGCGGTTGGGGTTTTTGTCGTTGTTTTTTTTCATTCTCTGGCGGTACCTCTCTGGCTGCAGTGAGGTTGACATGATTATTTAAAGCGTGTCTGTGAGTCCAGCTGCGCTCCCTCCACTGCGAATGCGCGCAGTTGTGACGCGCCGTCAACTCGTTTAACATCCGTCAGAGGCATCGTTTCAGACCACCTGATGGAGGATCAAGGACACACTAGTTTACATCCTCTCTAGTGGGGAAGCATCACAGCCTGTTCCTTAGTTAGTGCTGCGATCAAATAGCTCTGGGGAATATAGCTGATGACCCAGTATGACCTCCACAAGGCAGTTGTATAGGCCAGTGTTTCCAAACCAGGGGGCGTGGACCAAAAGTGGTACATGAGGGCATTGTAGGGGTAATACAGATGATCTTCATGTTTTATATTTTATGATTAATTTATGATGAAAACATGTTGCTGGGGATCTTGTCCCTGGATAGACAAATGTTTTTGAGTGTGATCATTTGAATGTAATATTTGGCGTCATGCCTGAATGTATTTGTATCTGTGCACCCCCCGGTTGATGTGCATGAAATGCATGCAATTTCTTTTTTTTCACCGTCATTACTATAGGAAGAGTAGGCCAACTGGAAACTATAAAGTGACTATAGGTGTAACTTTGGCCCTGTATGGACTGGTAAACTGTCTCACCCCTCACTGTTTGCTGTTAATGGTGAAAACCAGCCAAAGAGGAACCTACTCCATTTAAATACCTTTGAGCATGCCATTATTGTTGGTGACAGATGGTCTGATCCTAGTATTTCAAAAACTGCTGATCTACTCACACTGTACCATCTTGAAGTTTACAGTAACTGGTCCAAAAGATAGAAAAATATACTGTGAGCAGTTGTACCTCTGTCAGAAACACCCAGCTAATGACACACCTTGACCAACAGAAATGCAATAATAACTCCTGTAACCATTTTTCTAACCACAATAGTTAAAAAGAACATTTATCTTGAACAACATGGATTACAGTAGTGGAAGACCAAAGCAGGGTCTATGTTTTTTTCAAGAGAATTAACAGTAAAATAACACCAAGGGGACAGGAGAACAAAAATGGATTAAATCACCCTTTTCTGATGATCTGGTTGTTTTACCACATTCTGCAGGTAGTGTCAGAAACATGAAGGTACAGATCTCCAGCACTCGAGTTGGGATTGTTGTGTAATCGTGTTAATTCTACCTTCATTTGAGGCTTTAATGCCACATCCTTCTTGATGGTTGTGGCCCATCCTTTTATGACCACAGTGTAACCATCTTCTGATGGCTATGTTAAAACAGGCATATTTAGGGTGTGAAGGAACAAAACACATCATTGCAACTGCAGCCAACAGCTTAGCAACCGTGTGATGCCGACCCAGTTGTCTGAGAAACATTTTGAACATCTGGATGGATAGATTACACAAAGAACCGGGTCATAATTAAATGCAAAGGAAGAAACAAATTGGCAAATTTTAGTGTTGACTTTATGGTGACAGCGCTACAGATAACACAGTTGGATGACAGGTCTTTGTCTTGTTGACGTCACAGCATCATTGGTTTTTGTCAGTGCTTGATGAGGTGCTGTTTTATTGATCGCTGCTTGTTGAGGAAACAAGTTTTTTCTTGGATCAGTGTCCCCTTTGTTTTTCCCCTTCGGAGTCGATGACAATTCAGTACTGCTCTGTGCTTTTCTTCAAAAAATAATTCCCCTGATCGTCTATGATCAACCATTGTGGTTCTTGGCAGGGAACACGGGCTTCCTCTCCAATCTGGTGAACACTTCTGACATTTAAGTGCTTCAAAGTAAAACTAGAATAATTTGATTCATCTTGATGTTTGTCAGGCCACCTTTCAGAAGCGGTGTATCTCAGATAGGTCTTTGGATAAACACGTTTGATAAAATAAAAGCTGTAGCTGTGGTGCCAGTTCTATTTGTGTGTAATTTGTGTGGGTCAGGATGCAATGAATTTAATAAGAGACCTGACTAAATAAAATATTTAAAATCCATTAAAAAAGAATCATAAAAATGTTTCATTGGTTGTCTATACATTTATTTTCAAGTTATAGATACACACTGCAGTTTGTCTGAAATTGTTTTCATTTAGTATCAAATGAACAGTAACGTGTAAAGGTTTAAGCAATGGTTTACAATTGTGTTACATTGGTTCCTGTCCAGCTTTAAGTATTTAAAGCAAACGCAGAAAACCAGAAGCTGTTTACTTTTTAAGAAAACATTTCTATCCACCACAATGTTCCTTCTGTGGCAGCCAGGCTGCAGAGGAGAGGACTCCTTTTACTGGGGAGGCAGCCTAACCTTTGACAGCTTGAAGGATAGTGTTGAAAAAAAAAATGCATTAAATTTATACTCCTTGATTCATAAATAAACAACCAAAGTGCCCATGCAGGGCAGCTGGTGAAAAGGCCTCTGGTTCTGCACCTACACAAAACGTATGCACAGCACTGTTTATGATGCAAGTTTAGACTTCAATTGTGCTCATGTAGGATTTCCAAGGATGTTGAGAGGTGAGAATAAAACATGATTTTAATGATGTTCTTTGGCTCAGCCTGGGTCGCCCCCCATTTCTTCTCCTCAACCTTTTTCTTCTTCGTGGGCTTAAACTTGCTGTGATTGCTGCGCTGCTGCCTTGAAACAGGGCTCCCTGTGCAGCAGGTGACCCCTCAGTTCAAACACTGTCATTCAACCCACTTTCATTCTGCCCCTTTCATCCCCTCTTGATACCCTCAGCTCAGACATGAGTCTAATCAGCGGTCCAAAGCAGTGTTCCCACCAAACTTTGTTCTTGACATTGTTCTTATATCCATCCCTGTAACAACAGCCAGTGTCTGTATAGAAGAAAACTACAATCCAAAATGTAATTAAAAAAAACAGAACAAAGTAAAATCCATTGTGCGACTAGGTTTGTGTGTATGAAGTGTGTGCTGTTTCTTGTTAATCATGTGTGAGTGGGTGTTTCAGTAATGAGAATAAGTGTGAGAGCAGATGGACTGTTAAAATACATTCTCATATTAATTCCATATCATATGTCGGATTTGTGTACCAAGTAATTAATTGCCTAATCCGGCTTTAATTTATAGTTTGTATTATTTTACAAAAATTCCCATATATGCTTTTACAGATATTCCATTCAATATCTACTGTTTCAACTCTGTACTTTTACAAATATTGGCTTTTGCATTGTGGGGTGAAAACAGTCTCAAATGTCTTCTCACTCTCTGTCTCAAATCCCAAAACACTTTTCCTCAGCAATGGAGGAAACATGGATCCTGCATTTCACTAATTGAACATTTTAAAATATTTTCATTTTAATTCAATGATGGTGGCGCTTTGGCCCAGAGGCAATGTCTCTGTCATTGGTGTGGAACCCCAGGGTTCACCTCCTGGGCAAGTTCGAATCCCGGTTAGGGCGGTTGGTACCTTCCAGTGGACTCACCACCCGCAGGAAGGTTTGGTACGGTGCAATGTGATTTGGGTGGCGACTGCTGCCCCCGCGACCCGGTAACGGATAAGCGGATGAAAATGGATGGATGGATGGATGGATTCAATGATGGTTACATTAGAATAATCAAACCATACATTTTAGTTTCATGTTAATTACAGTTAGGTTAATACGCAGCTCGTCGGACCACTGCAAATCCATCATGTGTGCTTTGTTGCTTCCCGTCCCATAAACGTGTCCTAGTCGTTCTCTGTCCAATGTTTGCCCTTCTCTTTATTATGGCCAAGATATGACTTTTATCTGCCGCTGAGATAAATAAGTGATGAACAAGGACGTCTGCACCAATGCATGTTGTAAAACAAACCTGGTGCCACTTGAGGATAAATGCAGTTTAAGGCTCGTCAGTCTCCACACTGATGGCTTCAACCAGCTCATTTAATAAAATCCTAAATTAATTCAATCTACCAACTGCAGCCGCAGCATCTCTCTGATGTTAACATGCACTTCACAGCAGCCTAAATGGCGACTGTCATTTCCGCAAGAGCAGTCGACGTGACCTAAAGTGATCATTATGTACAAAAAGCAGTCGTGTCGAAGACAGACGGTGGTTTAGAAAGTAACATATGTTACTACCAGGACAAACTACAGCTGGTTCTCCAGGTTCAATTTTGAATGAATTCACCTTGTATGGGGCTGTGACTCCATCACTGTCTCTGAGACATGAGAGTACAGCAGGTACGCAGTATTTCGCCTCGGTGACTCCACTGACTCTGGTACGTTTAATCACAAGTGAAACTAGATGAGTAGCAGAAACAGATGGACTGCAGAATATAGCGTCACTGACTCTGTGCACAAACACATTGTTCTGCACACACACACACACACACACGCTGCTGCTGCCCACACACACACACACCTTTCTGCACACATACCACTTGCTGACACTCTCCATGTCTCATACACACTGACACTGTCAGACCCAGTGTCCTCTACAGATCACCAGAGCAGCCCTGCATCTATTCTACAGCTTTTACCCACTGCACTGTCTTCGTCTCTAAGCTACTCTGTGTTCCTTTTTCTTCTGAGGCCTGAAGATTCAAACTGGATTAGGTCTCTGACAAGACGAGAGAAGAGGACGGGAAAGGAGAGGAGAGGACACAGAAAAGGAAAGGAAATATTGTTATATTTTGGTGTGACAAACACATCCTCACTCATATCAACCAATCTCTTTCCGGCAGCTCTATTCTCACAAAATCCTCTTGGAAACCTTCTCCTTATCCTTCTTATCTTCTCGTCCTCACTTGAGTTGTAGTAAATCCATTGTTGGGGAGAAAATTACATTAAGCTCATCACCAAAGTAACAGAGTATGATAGGACAACCTTTTAGAAGACTCTCTTGAATCCCGTCAGAGAATCTCTCTGGTCATATCACAGCAGCAGCAGCCGTGGCTGACTGATGCCCTGTCAGGGCTGGAGGTCTCTGGATGAGGTGCTGTAAGGAGATCTAGTCTTGCCTGGTGCGTCATGAAGTCAGTAGATCTGGCAGTTTAAAAAGAGACAGCATATGTCACGGTACATAAGTACATTTGACTTTAGAGCAGACTGAAGAATGGAAAAGAAAGAGAGAAGGATTGCTGAATAATAACGCTGCACAATAACAGTGGAATATTTGTGTGACAGCAGTGTATTATTATTTGATTACATAATTTCTGTCTGTGAATCACTTCCAAAAAAAAAAAACAATGGCTTCTCACACAATCAAGTGGCGCCCCTGAGTGGAAGAAACACTCTTTTCTTCACTTGAGGCCACATGTGCACACTGCTGTGCCTGGAACTTATACACAGGGGAAAAAATCCTTCTCTTGTCTTAGAACATAATCAGTCATGCAAAGGTGTTTAAGTATAAATTCTTTGTGTGTGTGATTTGCAGGGAGAAGATGCCATTCCACCATGTACGAGCAGGGCTGCTCTATCCAGACAACTACCTGAGCAACTCCCTGACGGAGGACAGGGAAGCCTTCCAGCTCACCAGCCTCTCCACAGAGGAGCTGGGAGGTAAGTGTTGGTGGTGGATGGTGGAAATATGAGGGGGTACCGGGTATATTGTGTAGTTGCACTTTACCAATTAATGTTTGACTGCTTGAAATTGCTCTTACATTTCCCCTGTCCTCCTGGGGTTAGGGTTTTCCATCTTGCCATTATGGGTCTTTGGAAATTGAATCAGTCGCTGGACTCGCTCCATCAGTGCTGGAGAGAAGTGAAATATATTGAATCAAGCATGAATTACCAAAGCAGTGTGTTAATATTTATATCCTAACACAAGTTTTCAATCTGTCTTACCGTGAAATTTACATCGGCTGTCTGCTGAATGTAGCTCGACGTTATTTCAAATTTATCATGTTGCCCAGTTTTTTTTACACCACTTCTGGAAAAAATATTTGGCTCCCTAGGTGACCAAGTTTAAAAAAGTTGCTTGAGATTTAAACGTCTGACTGGGAGAAGTATGGTGAGTTACATGGTCGTGTGTCTGTGTAGGTCGCCCTCTGTCAATGTGATGGTGTCATAAAATACCTGTCGACACAACTTCGACTTTATTCTTAGATAAATGTGTAATCCTGATGAGATCCCCATTCAGTCAATTAGCCAAGAGACCCATAGGAAGATGTGAGAAATATGTGTCTGTTGGAGTAATGCAGTGACTGTTTGTTTTATCAAGCAGGTCTTTATATTGAAAAGTAAACCGGTGGTTTGATCAGGAACAGGAAACTGTATAATTGTTGTTTTCTTGAATCTCTTTAACTCAACAATCGTTACACTGCATAGAGTGCTTCTGGATTTTTCTTCAACTTCACTGGCAATAGCTGCAGTAATCAGTGATGGGTAGCTGCAGGCTGTTGGAAAGATCTCCAGGGTAGGTTTTACCGTAACTCGACATCAAGGTGAGTTCTGCGTCAGAATAGTTGTTCTGTCTTTAAGTTGAGTCGTTAGAAAGACGTTTTATGTTTCCGCAGTCTTTTTGGTTTACATCTACTGATGTGAATCCTGACATAATTTCACACACATATATGTACTTTGTAAATTGTTCGGTTTTGTAAGGTCCAAAGAAAAACAAGTAATCCTGTTATGGAGTGAAGGCGCAGAGTGAGCTGCTGTCTCTGTGTCATGTTTAAACATGCGGCCTGCTGTATTTTGCATGAATAGGCTTTGCTATAAAGTACTTTGTAGCATAAATCTTTTAATCCACCGTCCCCTGTGCACAATTCAACCCAGTTCTCTCAAGCAGTGGCTGCAGTCAACTCAGCTGCACACTCTACACACTGACCGAAGCATCTAATGATCACTGGTCTGGTTGGACTCTGTCTGTGAAGGGCACTCAGAAGGTCATAGGAGTTGCGTATCTTTCTAAACCTATTATCTAAATTATATTTGGATGCTAAACATCCAAATATTATAATAAGTCATTATCTAGTTGCTTTGAGCAACAGATCCACTCCCAAATGAACAGAAACGGAAAACCCTGGTGTTTGGCCGCCGGCATTTGAAAATGTCTGAGCCCGCATCAGCGTCATGCCGAAGGTTCTCTTTGGATCATCTGTTAGCGGAGATAGATGGCTAGTTAATCACCCCGTGTTAGACTGCCACCATTCCAGCCACTGGAAGTCTGTTTCATCAGTCACACAGTGAACATGTACAATCCTTAGGGGTTGACTTTGTAATAAAAAGTCACACACAGTCAGGACCCACATACGCCTAGATGCACAAACACACGCAGACGTTGCACAGTAATGCATCAGCAGCTCGATCATTCTCACCCTATTGAAAATGTACTCTCACGGCTGAGCTGCATACAAATACATTTCACTTTGTTTTGCAAGGCCACACACTCACCCACATTTCCAGTCTGGTCTGCTCTGATCCTCACTTTATAGAGAGAGGACGGAATCACGCCGCTTGGCTCTGGTTATGAGTGGCGGAGGTTTTACAGGCTAAGATTGGAGCTGTAACTAAAGTCGGGCACCATGACGATCACGGCTTCATCAGGTTTTGTTGTTCGCTGCTTAGGCTTTGTACTGTGCCCGTATGAACTGTAGCCAGTCTCACAGTTTCTCTGTAGAGTATTAGGCCCTGATGTGCCAATTTATGTTTGTGTTTTTTTATTTATTATCCTTCAATTCTCTTATCTTTATTGTAATCAGATTTGTTCAGTATGGTGTGGTTATTGAATTGTTGCCCCTTAACTTTTCCCACATGCTTTGCCAAGGCTGACAAGAAAAAAAAAAGAAAAAGAAAACAGAAAACTGAGACGATCTTATTACACCGAGGAAGGCAGTAGCAGCATGTCAGGACAAGAATATTAATGATGAACAGCCTGAAAGAGAGAGAGAGAAATGGATGTCATGTAAAATTCATTGTTTAAGTTAGGAAAAGGGATTCATCCTGTTGAAATTGTGATTTTTCAATTCAGCGGTCTAGCTGGATATTATTCCTCTGAGTGAATTTCTGCTAAATCCCAGACAAAAGGGACTTACTTTTTTACCACAAAACACGGAAATATTAAGCATTCGAATGTGAAAAGTTGTTGAACAAAGACTTGCAAAGTCTGGCTCTGCGGTCTTCGAGTCGATAAAGCGAATCAGTCCCCCTCACTTTACCTTGATCACTTTGCACCTCAGCTCTGATGGTGCACACCAACTGACTAGCCTTTAGCTAGTGATTGAGCAGTGCGACTTCTGAGGTGCTTGTTGGTTTGCAATTCTGCAGCGTAAACAGATAGAGGCCTCGTGAGATGCCTGTGTTTACTTACATTTTCAAGTCAGAAGAGAAGCGCTCTACGTGGGAGGAGAGAGTCGGAAATGCTCTTGGCAATACTGGTGGTAATTGAGTTGTGTAGAGAGATTGGGACAGGCCCTCAGGATTTGTAAAAGGCAATAAGTATATAAACACATGGTACAAACAAGGAGAGAGAGGCAGAGACGGAGAGGAAGGAAGAGGGAGTTCACTCTCACCTTTATTTGCCTGACAGGAAGGTCGCAGCACTTTCATTTAATAGTAAAGCTGAGAGTATTCTGTGGCGGGGAAGCACCTTTGAGCATCATCTACAAGACCGCTCTGTTAATCATTCATCTCATTTCATGGATTAGTCTTTCTCCCTGACAGGACAGCCACCGAGAGCTCACACTTTACAATTCAGAATAACACTTTAAATGGACAAAGACACAGGATAAACATTTTATCATTTTCTTTCTTCATGAGTTACTGATAAATATGCACATTTTAAGTTGACCAATGTGGAAAAAGTAGTTTTCTAGATTCTATATGTTTATGCACATTTATTTCTAGTTTAGTTATATTTCTACCATTTATATCTAACACATTCAGTCCGTAACATGTCTTACATTAATTCCAGCCCACTGACCAATACTCAAATATATATTTACTCTTTACTGCAATAAGCCCTTCAAACCATTAAATATGCCGACACCTTCTGCAAACATGCTATAAATATTATGAAACACAGTGAAGAAGCCCACTGGGGTTGGTGTTCCTGCCTCAGAGCTAAAAGGTGAGTGGATGAATGCTCTGTGGTAACAGACGGTCTTTCTGGGAGCCCCTTGTGGGTGGGTTTTCTCTAGGCTTTATGCCACAGCCCTACAGTTTTCCCACATCACTTACACGTGCACCCAAGATTAGCTTGGTTACCATTGACTGGTAGAATACTTAATTACTTACATAATTACTAAATTATGCCAAATCAGGTCTTAAACATCACTGGTTAAAAGTTGGTCCCTGGATTTCATGGCAAATTTGTGACGATTAAAACTAAAAGTTTTTAACTCTATTAGACGTTTGCCTTTTGATTGTCATTCACGTTTTACATTGTTATATGAATGTAATTTTCTCTTTAATATAATTCTTTTTATAGCCATTTATATGGCTGCAAACATTCTATTTAAAGCCATTAAGACCCTTAGGCTGGTCACTGTGTTGTTTGTTTGCATCCCTGTTTTATTTATTTATTTATTTTTAAGGAAGCCACTGTGGAATATTCTTCATCAGATTAAGACAGTTTGTTCTGCCACATTGATTTAATATTATTGACCTCTTTTTACTAATAGCCCTGTTGGAAATGCTTTATTTCTGAAAAATAACTGTTTAACTGTATGCTTGTCAAACTGACATTTTTGGGGCATTATCACAAATTCATGACATGGCATGCATTGTCAAACACTGTAATGTTGCATTTTCTTTGTGTCATTTGTCAACTTTCAGTTTCTTGAGAAACTAGAAACATTATTATTTATTTACTCCAAATAATTTGTCATTGCTAAACAATGTGCCAATACCAAATACATTTTCACTAGGTAGCAGCAGAAGACAACAAAAAGTAAAGGAAAAGTTTGTTTCAAGTTGCGTTCAACAGACCCAGTCTTTGACGTCACAATCTGTGATAAACTTGAATGACAAATACAAAATAATGTTTTTGTGTTTTTATACTAATGTCAAACTGTGCAGTGGCAGAAGCAATAAATGTAAAACTAGTACTGTTTATTCGGTCTGCGGATTGTGACACCATACTTATTGGCTCTTCTACCTGTAGAGGAATATGTGGCTCACTGGCTTTCAAAACTCTGCATAATTTTCACATTTCTATCTACTGCTTGGAGCAGTTCACTTATGTTTTATGCTTTTTTAAAAGCTTTATCGCTATCAAATCCGAAAAAAACACTCTTATTCTGCTGATCCGAAGCAGTGAAGCTGTGGTGTAGAAAATGAAAGCAGTCAGGTGGAAATATCCTGCAAGTCTATAAGGAGTGTGTCACTAGATGTGACCTTTAGAATACACAACTAATCAATTCATTGACTGATGACGACTCAACAGTATGGAGTGTAACTGCTTTAGGCTCCACAAAAGAATTTGTGACGACGGTCAAAGGAAACCATGCTGAACATAAAAGAAATGGAGGAGAAAAAAAGCTCAGCCGTAGTGTCATAAAACCGTGCACCTCAACTCCCTCCCTAAGAGGTTAGTAGATCTATTTGTAGTATCTCCTGTCACTGCTCCTGGGGAGCAATTATCCAGGGAACACCATTCTTATTTGCACAAACACAAGAAAAGGTTGGAGTGAGAACACCTCATTTTAAATGTAGTAAACAACCAAAGCCGATGGCAATCACACTTTATTAATGTCGGAAGTTAAATTAGCTCCAATAACAATGTAATAATGGAAGGAAGAGTAAACATCAGGCCTAATTCTGCATGTCTCAGACACAAATCCCGTGGAATCGAACCATTGATCTTCTTGCTGTAAGGCAACTACTACTTTATGCTCGTGCTGTGTAAAATAGCATCGGTAAAATGGAGAAAATGCACTTCCTTGAAATGATTTTCCATAAAGACAAGAGAAAAACCTTCTGTTGGTTTAGTCCAGTGGTTCTCAATTATTTTCTGTCATGCATATTTTTATCTGTACAAACCACTGTATGAGTTGCTGCCACCTAGTGACTGGAGGCTTGTTATCATTTAAGCATTACAGCAGTGGTGCAGTGGTTTTGTCATTGGTCAAACATATTGTGATAAGTTGTGTGTTTGTCACGCAGAGATCCGCGAGGCATTTCGTGTCTTGGATCGTGATGGGAATGGTTTCATCTCCAAACAGGAGCTGGGCATGGCCATGCGCTCCCTAGGTTACATGCCCAGTGAAGTGGAGCTGGCCATCATCATGCAGAGACTGGACATGGATGGTAAGACACTACATAAGGACACACAGTTTGGTGCATTCACTGAGAAAATACGTGGAAAAACAAGCTTTTCATACATGGACAAATGAGTGTTAGAAAACTGAGCGCGATGTTTGTTTGTTTTTGTTTATTATTCATCAGACACATATTTGTATGAATATTAATATTGGTTTATTTTCCTATTTTTATGAAATGTAACGCACTGTTAAAGGATGCCTCAAAAAGAGACATTTCCTTCAGGCCAAATCGGATTTTAGATTACAGTCTTGTCTTGTTAGGAGTAACAGCTTGTCAATTGTCAAAAAATAAACTGCCCTGTGGGCAATGAAGACAGAATCTTTACGCTCCTGCTTCTTAAACTAAAGCTGTTCTTGTAAATTCACTGCGGACTCACATTTACCCACTCTCTTCATCACAAACAAACTGGTCGATCTCTCAGCTGGGTCTGATCTGCAGGAGCTGAACGCATTTTTCTTTTCCCCCCACGAGTGCCGCTCTAACTGAGAGCAGCTCTGCCATTGCTCCGTGGGGAGACAATATGTCAGTGGCCTATCAGTATCTGATAAGGTCTTCAAGGTTTTCCCCAGAACAACTGTTTTTTTTAAGGACGTCAATTATTGTCACGTGTTTGACATCCTGCACACTCTGTGTTCCTTCTCCAACTTCTGGTTTCTATTGTCTACATCACCCGGGAAAATGTAAATGAGTCGATATTTTTTTTAAATGACCTTAAAGTGATTGTCCAAATAAGGACCCGATGTACCCAACACTCCAGTAAAGTTGAAGTTAAGTTTCATCCATGCATATTGTACACATTGAATAGACAGTTAGTTAACTAGGAGACAAACTCAGTATCAGCGACTGGAGTTTGAGGGTGACATTTAATCTGCGGTGACAGCAGGGAGCAGGTGGAGGAGGAGTCGCAGAGTCGGAAATTTATACTGTAGATAAGAGCAATCAAAGCCGGTAAATGCAACACTGAGTACATGTGTGCACACAAGGAGGTCGTCGGAAAGGTGAAGGTACAGAGAGTAGAGAAAATGAAGGTGGATGAGTTGAAACAGCTGCACTCAGCCATCCAAAGCAACAGCCAACACAACAAAAGAGGTGAAGGAGAGGGGCAGACTGACAGAGTGATGGAGGAGAGGTGTATGACACAATGAAGGCAGCCGGGGTGGAGAGACAGGTCTCTACAGCAGGAGCGGAGCCTGCTATACTGTATATGGTTGGAGAACCAAGATCTAAATGAATGGAAATCTCTACATTGAACGGAATTGTGATGAAGTGTGAGAGTCAGTGTTTAGTTGCAGCTGTGTGGTGTTTTATCATCTTAGATCATATGAAACCACACAGGGCTAAATGATAACCTTTGACTGGTCTCCTCAAAGTGAATACATGATGGTAGGTTAAGAGGCAACTCCAGCAGCTTCGACATGATTATCGTTACATACTACTGACCTGCTGTGAATTTGCTCGTTCGTACTCCTCTCCGTGTTAGACATCACTTAGTACAATGTTCTTCATTTAATTCTATGAATGAATTGCTTTTTATATATCATAGCATGTGAATGTGACTTGTGGTTTTATAGCAGTTATTTATTGTTCTTTGAAGAGCAGAGACAATCATAAATGGTATTTTTGAAATTCTCCCTGCGGACAATCATTAAGCCCCTCCCCGTTTTAGATAAATACAGCGTCATTGGTCAGATCACATTTAAAATGGAGGGGAATTGATCCAAATGTCAGAAGGGCAGATTTCCTCTGCAGCAGTGAATAAACATGAGCTCACTGATTAGTTTTCCGACGAGGACATTTCAACAAACCCATAAAGCAAATGTTATCTCTTCAGTGGTACAAACACAGCAGCACTGGGACTCATAATGATGTCTTTTAATTGTGCCCCTTGTAATGGCACACCATAAAACAAACACTGGATAACTGGCTAAACTGTTGCTAATTCCAATAGTGGCTGTTTAGATAAGTCTTTGTTGTAATGTGGCTCATGAGGCACGCTGCCATGGAGACTGAGCATTAATTCCATGGGACACAGGCCGTTGATTGTAATAAAGAAGTAGAATGCATTATGCATAAGGTGTAATCATTGAATTAAAATTCCCCTAAAGTCCCTAATTCTCACCATGTCGTAAATGCCAGACACACACCTGACTTCGACGGTGGTCTTGATGCACAGATGAGCGCACATCCATCTGTTTATCTGCTTCACTGCACTTTCCTTTGTTTTTTTTTTTGCAGAAAGATAAACTTCCTCATAAAATGCATTAGCACTGGTCTGCCAACTTCCCTCTCCCAGTATCCAACTTTATTTTCTCACTGTTTTTCTTTGTCCTCCGTCATGTGTGTGTGTGTGTGCCTGCAGGGGACGGCCAGGTGGACTTCGAGGAGTTTATGACAATACTGGGGCCAAAGCTGCTGTCATCCGACAACAGAGAAGGATTTCTGGGCAACACCATCGACAACATCTTTTGGCAGGTGAGAATCAGTTCTTCGTTGTTTGAGCTGGCAACAATCAATCGCCCTCATCAATCACATCAGCCTCCCCATAATTCATCACTTTATCCTTTTCATCTCCTCTGACTTCCTGTTCCTCCATCTGTGATTGCCAGCACTAAGAACAAACCTCACTTCCTACAGTACAGCCCCAGTTGTTGCTTAAAGCTGGCACAGACACGCACATACACAAACACACTCCTACACACACTTTTGTGCCCCCCCGCCTGCTTTTTCTTTTCCCTGTCAAACAGAGAGTCTATTTTTTCTTTCAACTCAGGACCCTGAAGGAAAATAGACCTGCTGAGAATTAAGTGTGTTTCTGCATGTGTGTCTGTGTGTGTGTGTGTGTGAATGTTTTGGTTTTGTGTCTATGTGTGTTTATGTTTCACTGTGTTGCAGGAGATATTACCATAATAAAGATTTGCAGGGATGCACCATTTTGTGGAAAAAAAAAAGTCTGAAAGTTGAAGCTTACTAGTTTCCAAACTGGGCTCTGTGGTGATTAAAGCTGCATCTACATACTTTGTGTGAGTCTTTTTTAGAACTGTTAGAGAGAACTCTTTTTTTTTCTCACAGAATTACATGCCTCTTAGGTAGAATATGAAACTGAGATAGTGGGAATTTGCAACAGAGTTTGGATGGAGGAAAAACGTTCCTCAGATCAGACTTTTCCAATCCACTGATCCAATGTAGGGTTATGGTATTTTGAATATTGGCTAATGGATGCTCCAGTAGAGGAGTGGGAGCTGATTGGTGGTTAATCAACTCTATTTCATCAGCCTGGTGGATCACAGATGACAGCAGTTAAAGTAGAACACCTCTGTCCTTGGGCTCCACTTAAGAATAACTCAGCATAAATGTGTGTGTGTGTGTTTACGGCACATTCCAAACTTAACACTTGTCGTTAACAATAAAGGTATAACTGCAGAAAAAGAAGGGAAATTGAACTTGTGATGATGTTCACATTCTGTGGCTCTTGAAAAAGCAGCGTAGTTCTAGAACATATAGCCCTATATTTTATATTATATTTTGATGCAATATTAATTTGCCCGTATCTAAATTTACAATTAGCTTTGAGGGAATGTGTGGATTCAGAAAATGTCTATTTTTGTGCAGTTCCTGGCACATCTGTGGATTTGATGACTCAATCAATTTGATTTGGGAGGAAAAAAATAGGTGTGTAAAAAAAAAGGTTTCCTTATTAATCCATTCATTGTTTGTAGAGAGAAAAAAACACAAACGTTTTTCTATCGTAAAAACAGGATTTAGTGTATGAAAGGCTGCAAGGCTTGGAGAAAGATGAGAGACTGGTGAGGGAAAGGAGACAATATAATATGAGCAGAAGGAAACGGTGCAGTAGTGGCAGAGCAAGGAGGAGAGGGGGGTGCCCCACATAGAGATACAACAATATAAGTGTTAACCACAGAGGAAAAGAATGGGAGAAAATGAAAGAAAAGGTACAAGAGAGTGTGAGTCATGAAGGTCACGCACAGTGTGCATTTCATGGGCGATTTAAAATGTCCACCTCGCACATGCTGTAGATAGAGACGGACCAAGAGAACAGACAGAAAAACAAGAGATGAGAGGGAGGGTGAGCAGCAGGGAATAAAAAAACAGAGAGCTAAAAAACACAGAGTTGAAAGTAAAAAAAAGGTAGAGAAGTGGTGGAAGGAAATGTGACTGAGGGGAGAGAAAGAGAGACAAAGAGGGACAGAGAGAGAGACGAGAGTCATTTACAGACCTCAGAGGGAGACAGGCAGAGAGGGGGAGTCATTGTGCTGAAAAGGGAAAGATGCAGGAGAAGCAGGCTGACTCAGTTCAGGTAATCTCCCCGCACAGTCAGGTGTATAATGATGGGCTTCATTGAGGAGGCTGATGGTGACATCAAGTGTATGTATTTACATTGCATTCAAACCAGAATGCATTTGTCTGCGTCTGAAATAAATTTGTCCCTGCATTTGAAATATCTATTCTATCTATTTTTTTTTTTTTTTGCTTCGCTGTTTATTTTCACACTCACCCCAGATCAGAGCGAAACCTTAGGGGATATTTAGATATCAGCTTTGAAAATCCATTATACACCAAGTCACCACATTTATGCTGAGACCCAGTCCATTACAGTAGAAAAATGAAAACACCAAGTCTCCTGCTGCACATTAAGCCACAGTGGAGAAATGCAGTTATTTTCCCTTCACATTTAATTGGTGTCCAAGACAGTGTGTATAAACAACACCTTTAAACCTTACATAGTTATACCATTATTTTATTATCAATGCATTTCTGTCACATATAACCTAAATATAGATGTAACCCTGAGCCGTTCATTGGATGCTGCATATTCAGTATTAAATTGGTGATGTGTAGAGATGTGTCGTTAAACAAAGAGTAGAATACTCATATTGACTTGTTAAGTGGTATGAATTTGCAGTAGTCTGAGGTTGTTTATTTTAGTCCAGTGATAGATACAGCTGTCATATGCCACGATGTGACAAAAGTGGACCAAAAGATGACACTAGCAACACACATCAAATTGTTAGTGAAAATGAACGTTGAAACACAGACATCAAAACTGCTTTGATCGTTAATTATATACAATATTTATCTGGAGATATTTTGTGCCTGCTATATTTTATTTTATTTTGTTTTTTGGTGTAGGTCAACACAGCTGCCCTTAGCGCCCCTGAACCACAGTTTTAACACCATAACTATGTGTTAAGACCACAGGTATAATTAAAATAATGTTAAATTTAAGTCTTTATTCTGCAGATTAGTTAATACTCTCCTGTGATCTGACAGCTGGTGTAGCCTGTTCCTTTATCAAAGTCATAAACAAAACTTTAAACTACTACAAACCCGAGGTGTGGAGCTAATGGCCTCAAAGCTCCAGGTGTTTTTTCTAATCCACAAACTTTAGGTATTATAAGCAGCACTGCAGCCCAGGTCTAGTCTGTAACCACACTATTGCTAATTGTTGTTTACAGAACCCATGATTCATTAAAATACATAAAAAAATAACCTTGATGATGTGAGTTCCAAATACTAGGTCATACACCCTGCTGGCTGGATTAATTACTGCACACCTCAGCCTTTTCTACCACATTTCATGTCTACATCCATTTTTAGTGCAATTATGACACAGCAGAACTGATCAACGCAGCACGTTCATAAGAGAAGACAACAACCACTGTCAGATACCTTTACACTAACTGTGTTCCATCAGTTCAGAACGACTGTATATCGGGTACAAGAGTCGAAAATTAGTTTTCCAAATGCGTGAGTGTGTATGGGTTGAATACTGATGTCAGTCCCAGACAATCATTTTATCCAAATGGAGGACATTTGGTTCACAAGCACTACAGCTGCAAAAAACAAGAAGGACGTTTTATTTTCTAAAATGTCTCTCTTTTGTCTCTGATGTAAAAACCCGTCTGTCTGGTCATTTCAGTTTCTGCACCACACAACATCCAGAGCAGCTTTCTAATGTAGTGGACAAGCATCTGGTCTTGTTTTTTTTTTTTTCTCTCTTTCTGTGTTTACCAGCTGTTAGTGTTGTCCCTGGAATCAGAACCTGGACACAACAGAAGAAGGACAGAATTATGTAGTTCGATGCCAACGACAGGCCCGTCACTACATTTGTTGATACAGTCTGCAATGTTCAACCTCATGACCACCATTGCTAAATGTAGACGAGAATGTGTTGTCACTCTGTTGCATAATGCTCGAGCATTTGGTGGTAGGTTTCGTTCGTAGTGTTGCACTGTGGGGGAAATTATTTTAACAGCAGTGTCTTTAAAGAAACCAGGATTGTGCATTGTTACATTGAGTATTTTCTTTCGATAACAGAATTTTTTAAACCCACTAATAGAAACCGTCTGCAACTTCTGGGACTGAGTCTGTTTCTGAGGATCCAATTAATCTATAATTCATCTCAGCCGGGCTTTTGCTTCTGCAGCATTTGTTAAAAATAACATCTTATAACAGCAGGTCCGTGTGTGACCACAGTGTGGAGAGAGTCATGTCCATTATAGCCTGCACAGATCCAACAGAAAAGCAGCCATTTTGGGGAGCGCTGAGTGGCTTCCAATAGAGAAGCAGAAGCTGCATATGAACCTGAATGTGTGACCTTGACACCCGGTGTAAAATGAAAAAGAAATGGTTGGGAAAAAAAAGCCCAAAAGTGGCGAAGACAGAAAACAAAACTTGCAGGTTGTCACTTGGAGTGACCTTTAATAAAATGGGGTCAGGAGACAAAGCAGGTGGTCGACAGGTGAAAGAAGTCTGAGCTGTGAGGCGACAAAGAAAGTAAGCTAGGAAGGACGGTTGGTTTGAAAACACCTGTTCCTCTGATTGATGTGAGCTGGCTCTCCTTGTATGTCACCGTTCACTGCTCCTGGACTTATGGTTTATTTCAGTGTGCACACACACACACACACCCATGCACATGTACCCACACCCAAATGCAGACACACCACAGATTCACTTAATTGCATAAAAGACAGCCACTTGAGTCATTATCTCCACATCATCCTCGTGTGTGCCTGCGTTTGTGTGGATGTCCTTCAGAGGCAGGAGGGGAATTTCTCTCTGCCGGTTTTTCTAAGAGGTAGCAGCCCCTCACCCACACCCACTCCCAAAACTCCACACATGCACGGTCCAGACAGCAGTGTGATACCATCCTCATGTTCCTGTCCTGAGCTGTCATCTTGTCTGTACATGGCTGCAGACCAGAATTTTTTTAAACCATTTTCCCACTGAAAGCAGATGTGTGCATTGCCCAAAAAAAGAGCAGAAATCAAGCAGCTCACAGTCAAAAGCCTTTAACTCTCCTCTCACCTAGAGTGACATCCAAGGTCACATGAGTCATATCAGTTCCTTGGATAAAAATTGTTTCCCTTATATATATATATATGTGTGTCATGGAACTTCACAGTGCTTTTGGTCACGGCACTGTGTACAGTTCAGCCATAGGCAGCTGGAAAATGTTTATCTTGGTTTTTTTTTTCCACTCTTCGTGTTAGAGTTGAAAAATCAAAATGAATGGATGAAAAAATGGATGTTGATTGTTATACAGTGAAGAATAAGAACTTTATTGTTTTTGATTATTTCTTAAATAATCAAAAACAATGACATTTAAATCTTTGTTTTGCATACCTTGATTTCCCCTCTCGTCCATTCACCAAAATCGCTTTTCACCAAAATCTGTGGTGTAGTCATTGGTCAAACTATAATATATATATATATACATATATATATATATATATATGTGTGTGTGTGTGTGTGTGTGTGTGTTGAGAGCGAGAGAGGGTTGACAAATACTAAATTGTAACTAAAAGTCAAACCAGAAACTGTTTAAAATAGTCACTGAACAATGAAAATGTAAAATGGACTACACACTTGTATTAGAAATGCATTTTTAAGAAAAAAGTATTTTAAAAAGATGATTCAAAAACGTATGTGAAACAGCAAAGAACCCGAGGAATTCTCAGAGAAAGAGCCTTTTGAACTAGCCTACTTGATCAGGTGTCTGACGCAAATTATTATAACTCACTGCAATGACACAAATTTCCTCTTTGTGTGTGTGCGTGTGTATGTCTGCACACGAATGTGTGCATAATTACAATATAAATCACAGGAAGAGGCAGCAGTCGGCTCTTTCTGGTTAGATTGAAATCACATTTTTTTCACGTTTTATTGCTGCACATTAACTCATACAGACGCAGTAAATAGGTTGGTAATGTAACTGTTTCTGTATGTAGAATGGCCATTTTATCATGAGTGTGAGTGGATGTATGTGTCTCTGTGTTGTTTTTATTTCAGTGAGAAACAATAAAATCTGGGGATCTGTATGAATGGATGGGAGGCCTCCAGTGAACATTTGGACAAGAATGATTCACCATAATTATTTTAGTTAATATATTCTATAATATGTAATGTCAGCTAATGAAGCAATTTTTTGTTGGACTGGCATTGTACTTATAGTAATATTTGACTATGTTAACAGGCAAAATGTTTTTGTTTAAATATTGCCCCATTTCTACAGTCTGTAGTGCTGTTGAGCAATTTGCTTAGGAAGTGTAACAGCTTACTTACTTATTTAAAAATTTAAAAATCTCTAACACATGATTCCTGTAACGTAATGTGTGAAATTAATCAGATTAAAATTGTATTGCATGAGCACAATGACATGCACTGTTTTTCCAATAAGTCCACAGTCCGTCCACTTATCGTTGCTCTAAAACATTTTGCACAAACTGAGAGAAAAAATACTTAGTTTCATGCAAGAACCTTGCGCTTAAAATACATTCTGAACTCCCAGCATGCATTTGTGGAGGCTTCAACTTCAGGTCAGACGCCTGGCTTGGATCAGAGCGCCTCACTGAGCACTGGGTAGTAATTAAGTCTACAGTTGACAAGATGACTGACACAATAGTCAAATGAATTGCGAGCGACTGTAGACTGATTAATATTGTTGAGGACAAAAGATTGCGGAGTGTTGAATGAAACTCGCTACTCTTTCTGCAAGTCAAGATGAATAGTAATGACTACCAACTACCAACTATGGAAAACTGTTTTTATTGACATTTTTCTATTTCAATAATCCCATCATGTGGATTGGTCACAAATTAGAACAGGTCTAGAACATGTGTTTCTATGTGTGATTATTTATCTTTCTGTTGTGTTCTAGCAAAACAGTATATAGAAAAAAAATCATATACTTATACTCATGATTAATCAGGATTATTACACAGCTACAATTTATTCAACCACATTTTATGCATCGTTCGATCGCCATGAAATACATTTATTTTGAAAGTGAATCACATTTTCTTTGCATGGCGAATTTCTTTAAAAAGAAAATGCGTTTTGCTGCTTTCACACATTTAAAGTGTGTACTTTTGATATTTAGACCTTTGACTGAGACAAACTGAAAATGATGGAATAGCTTGACTTTTAAAAAGTGCAGCTCTTACACCTGCTTCCTCTTACCTCTCATTATCCAGATTTTGCGATGCACTTAAAACACTTAACATTTAGTAATACACTTAGCTCTGTCAAGTAATGCGACCTGATCTGCTGGCCCATGTATACGTCATCACAAAGTAGGCTCTGGAGAAAGAAGCCCTGTTCAAGACTAGTACTACTTACTTGACATCACTTTTTAAAAACTGCAATATATAAGCTAACCAATTATTTAGGGGAAGCAATAAAACTGAACCAACGTATAACTTCCACAGCAATCGTCAGCTGTTTCACTCAAGTAAACAGTTGTTGTTTTATCAGGGCTGGGGGCCGTAATGCTCAGCTTTCGGCAAGCAGAGCAATTAAGCACCAGCCAGATTAGCGTCCCCTTGCTGAAATGAGCAACCCTCCTTCCCAGTCGCAACTCTTTTATGTTCCGACTACTATTGTCTGCCAGTTCTGTCTTCTCCATCTGTGTTCCCTCGATTTCCTGTCCTCTCCATTCTTCCCTTTCCTCTCATCTCTTCTTTGACTCTCCGTCGGCCCCTCTTTGCCTCCATGTGTCCATCTGTTGTGTCAAAGCAAGTGACTGGTTATGTCAGATATAAATTCAGACATACTGTAGTTGCTAAGCATCTGTGTGTGCGCATGCACATGTTTTTGTAAATTGCCTTTGGATTTGATTTACAGACAGAAAGGGATATGATGAGTTTGTGGTGGCTCTAGGCTTTAAAAAATGGATCCTGGATAACTCTTCACCAAATAATTCTATTCTGTTTTTACACACACGCACAGACACACATGCCTAATTATTCATCAACCTGGAAATAGGACCTGTTGTTAGCAGGAAATCATAACGCAGTTCCATATCAGCTCACACCTTTCCTGGTTACACACTCTACCCTATACATGACACATGTACTATATGGCAATGTTTTTCAGAAGCCAAGATTTTTCTACCACCACTGCACATTTCACACCTCATTCATGTCTTCTAAATGTGTCCGAATTGGAGCCAGTGTGTTGAATTTCTGTCTATACATTGATCTCTGCGTGTATGTGTGTGTGTGTGTGTGCCCCCTGCAGTTTGACATGCAGCAGATGTCTCTGGATGAGCTAAAGCAGGTGCTCTTCCACGCCTTCCGGGACCACCTGACAATGAAGGACATAGAGAACATCATCATCACTGAGGAGGAGAGCCTCAACGAGAACTCAGGGAACTGCCCTGAGTACGAGGGAGGTGAGCATCTGCAGAATGTAATGTAAAAACAATGTTTGTCCTACAGTCATTTGTCAACGGCCCACCACAGCCAACCTCTGTGACATTCTTCCGTTGTATTTTCTTTTCTTTTGCCAGGACCTTCACAGATCAATAAAGTTCTCATATTTACGTGCAAAAGAGGGTTGACCTGTAGCCAAGAGGCTGCTTACATTTTCTACCTTACACATTAAAGGCAGGCCACGGAGACAATAAATGTGCAGCTTGTCCACAGGGGGTGCTGTAAACATCTTTTTAAATGCCCCAGTCTAAAATTTGAGTGTACAGATCAATGATATTGTTTTACCTGAATCTAAAACTGTTTTATTATTATTATTATTTCCCAAGAGCTAGTACTGCATCCAGCTTTCAAGCCCAGTGAATGTACTGCATATAAGCCTTACACTATTTCACGTTGCAATAAAAACTTAGAATTTAAGAAACACTTACAAACTAATCTTTAAAAATCTTAAAATTGTCTTCCTTGAAACCAAAAATAATAATTTTGGAAACGTGTTATTTACAGTTTATCTTCCACTTGCATTGTTCACTACTTCTTTTTGGGCTTCAATGTTCGCAATTACACATCAGTTGGTATTACTGCCACTGGTTACACTGGATACACTGGTTAAAATAATTCTATATACAAAGACAATCTTAAGTAATTAATATTAATTAATAATATATACCACCACCATTGCCATTAATCAAATTACTACTAAATGCTATAGTAAAGTAGTATATATACTTTAATGTTATGAAATTAGCAATAAACCTTAAATGAAATAAAATTAAATTTACTCTGATTTGAATTGAAATCTTAACAAAAACCATATGCCAGTCGATAAACCAATAGAATCTTAAATGTAGGTATCTATTTAGTTGTTTTCCCATCCTGTTTCTTTACTAGCTGGATGGAAACGTCAAAAAAGACAAAGAGGCTCAAAGTTTGTCTCGGCACAGTTATTGGGAGTCGCACTGACCTTTATTTATAATTGTCAGCAAGGAACAAAAGAAAGTTGCTTTGAAAAATATCCAGACCAATTCCTTTGAGCTCAGTTTGCCCGTAGCCTCCTGTAGGTGAACTATAGAGTTCTCAAAGACAAACAGTACACCTTCACTTTATCACATAAGGAAAATCAGTCAAAATAATTATTGTGATGGATATTATTGTGTACAGTATAGGTCATATCACTGGGAGTCAGACTTTGCACCAGTGTTAAACCACAGTTAGGAAACTCCCCAGTTTAATATTCTGGGCTTGGTTTTAAAACTGCTAAGTCAGTAACTGATTTTAAGAATAGGAAACATCAGTATTTCCCCCTGTTTTATTTCTTTTCCACTCTGGTCTTTTAATATGCACCACATTTTTACGCTGCTGTACACCCGACAAACAAAAGCTCCATCTGGATTCTTCCGGAGGAAATAGAACTGAGTATCTCTGATGCTCTCAATAAATGTCGCTGTGAGGAACGCTCTTTGAATCACTTCCCACGACAAATTTCAAGGTCAAAACCCTAAATTCAATTAGCTAATTCAAACGATAATGACCAATGTCTCCTAGACTGCGACCACCATCAGGGCACTTGTAACTGCAGTGATGATTTTGAGGGAAAGGTCATACTCCACTAAACAGATTTAAAACTTGTATTAAATTAAAATGAAATGTTTTAAGGTCAATGTCACTGCGCTAAGATCGAGGAGCAGCACTGATGCAGGTGCGTACTGACCAGGCTCGAGTGGCTTCAACACAATCCAGAAATAAGGAAGTCTACTGTCCATAGTTAAGGCTCATTATGTCCAAGAATAATTGCATTTACAATGTAGTATTTTTACAATATGTGTGACTATTGGATGTATTCAATTTAATTAATATGAACATATTTGAGACATTATTTACACATAAGTTAGTAATTAATCATTGATGTATTTCTGTACTTAACTCTACTTTAATGTAGAGCGGGGGTTGTTTTTAAGGTGGAGAGATAAAGATCCTCTACTACATACACTGGCCACATGCCAGTTTGGTTCCAATACCAGCATCAATATTGTCTGTAAATTTCATGTTGATCATAATTCAAGGTATTTAATACACTGTTTTGTTTTTAACATGGATGTGGAAATGAAAATAAGTGATGGCTAAAAGCTGACTGCAGACCACCTAGGGACTGTGGACCCCAGTTAAAGACAAACAAAACTTTGTATTACTTTTCAAATTATCGACTAGATTCTTAAGATGCATTCAAATAGGCAGCACTCGCTGATGATGTGTCCCTTTGATATTATTTAGCATTTGTAACTCACCTTTACTGTTTTGTCATAAGTATAATTATTTAATAAAATCAGCTGTTATGTGCACCAAAATATTATTTTGTTTACATAAATTATTAATGAAATGATGAACAGGAAAATATGACAGAGGTTTCCAGCACCTCTTCCTGTTTAAAAGTCCAGTGCTATGGCGCTGCCTCTCATTAGTTATCACTGATAGATGTGTACGCTTATGCTCTAAATAATGGACTGATGTGGTAGGACTTGGCGGAAAACATATGAAAAAATACATTTTCTTTACATAAAAAACACATTTATCTTTCCAAAACTGACCGTGAGCCAGTTGTGGTGCAGTTGAAAACTGTCTCCTTGCTGTGATCAATCAAATGTGCCAGAAAGCCAGAAATGTCCTAATGAATCCGTCGGGTGCTGGCCTGCAGTCTCAGGACACAATAAAACGAGACAGATAGGAGGAAATGGAGAATTGTAGGGGCAGGAGGAGAAAAGAAGCTAAAGAATGGGTTAGAGCTCTGCTGACTTGACAGACATTGTTTTTCACAGAGTTTCTGGTGTCAAGAAAGCAGTTTGCTGTGCAGTGACACAGAGGGGTGGAGATGAAGAGATGGTAAATCTAGCCTCTAATGGAGAGATTATCCTCCTTCTTATCCTCAACTCTCTTCTTCCAAGCCTGCTTCCACCCTCTCCCCCTCCAGTGGGTCTCCAGCAGTGTTAAAATTCCACTTAGATCTACAACAAAGCTCTGACTTAATTTACGGATGCTGTATGTGAATCCAAACAACTGAGGTCGAATGAGAGGAAACTTTTGGCTGTTGCTTTTGCTGCAGGAAGAGTGTTTCTCTGTTTACCTAAAATTTCTTTTAAATCCCCACAGATTGTCTCTTTGGGGGATGTAAGCCCGAACAAATAAGAGACACAGAAAAAAAGTTTACTGGGTTTGTGTTTATAGAATAGAGCAGTGAAGTTGTTTTAGCTTTATCTACTTTGTAGATAAATGTCCACTCCATTGTATGGAACTGTTGCAGTGTCAGGCAACTACAAATAGTTTTGATTATATACAGCGTATGTACATATATATTTTGTTGTTTTGTATAAATATAGCTCACAGCTCTTTTGTTATTGTATATTATCATTAGTAGCAGTACACCTTTGTCAACATGTGATTAGAAAATAATTATGCTAATTGGATAATGTGCTGCTCCAGTCACACCCCAGCTTTCTGAGGATTCCATTTAGTGACACCAAAAATATTTTCTTTATGGATTTATTATGTACAAAATTCAGTCTGCTCTAAAGTTGAGCTAACCCTGAGCTGCTCTCCTGTCATTCACCTTCACTTCCTTCCTTGGCAGGTAAAACATACTTAGAAAAAAATTATTAGAGGAACCAACACATACTTAGCACCTCCACGGGGGGGCAGCCTATTCCAGCAGATCTGCTATTAACACAAGAATTTTAAGTGTGGGATCAATAAAGGTCAAAATTAAATGATTAGTGCCACCTAGTGGGTTTATTTGTTCCTGATAAATATTTCCACCCAGAAGCCTGACTATTTCCAGAGGTACATCAGGAGGGAAATTAATCCTGGATAAAATTAAGAAGTAAATTATCTTTGTAACTATCTGTTGCTGTAGAACCAAAGGATGTCCAGCAGGATGTAACTTTTTACCTATTCTCTTTGTATTTATTCTTTCAGTTCATCCCAAGAAGAAAAATCGTCAGACATGTGTCAGGAAAAGCCTGATCTGCGCCTTCGCTATGGCTTTCATCATTAGCGTCATGCTTATCGCAGCCAATCAGATGCTGCGGAATGGCATGGAATAGCCAATTGCACTGTGATGCATGAGGAGTGGACAGAACAACCGCGGCCTCACATCTCGTCTTTGCAGCCAAAACTGGACCAGCCACAACCCAAGCACTTCTGAACAATCAGCTGACTCTTTTTGGTTTGGATTTGAATCTGTAAGTACCCTGTGAAACAAACAATATGAGTAATGTGGACCGAATTGTATTTTATTTGCACTGTGGAAGTCACCCAGCATGGTTTACTGGACTCACTTGTTCACTGATTAACCAGAGGTGGGGAAAAAATGTTTTATATAAATCCTTAGAAAAAGTAAAACGGTTTTATTTTGCTGTTTTTAAGATCAAGACCTCTTTGAACTTGATGTGTTTTTATTTACTGAGAATGCTTATCAGGTGCTTGAGCCATTGCTAAAGAAAAAAAAAAACATTGTTCATATGTGTGTTGGAATATTTACCCCCAAGATATTGCACAGAATGAGCAGAATAAATGTCGGACACAGTATTTAAATGAATTGTAAATCTTTCACGTGTCATAATAACATCACACCTTCTGTGTAACATTTCCATCATCAGCTCAGTTCATTAGTCCTAGGGCACATGGAATATGTATGTGTATCTAAAAGGAGCACAACTCAATCCTCAGTGACGGGCTACTGCCCTGCTTTCTATGACTTCTGATGGACTGAGCTTCTGTGTGAGTGTGTAAAAGACAGGTACACAGTGGTACATACCACACACTGGCTGACAGCAGTATATTATACATCA